TTCTTACCCAGTTGTTCTGTTCATAGAAATGCTGAATATTCTATATATAAATTTCTCTAAAAGGCAGCAAAAAGGCGTTGCTGCAAGTATCTTCCACTTATTTGGCTTATGAATAATAATCCCAGTTTTAATGGTCAGTTCTCAGAAAAGAGGTGATAATGGAAGTGCTGGCACATACAATCTCCCCAGCCCTGCAGGTGTTACAATAAATGAAGCTTTAAGAACTTCAGGAACAGCACAAGGGCAAAACCTACAGATGTTTCCTTCATTTGTTTGTAAAGGGAGAGTTTTGCTACAGTGCTATTGTTTCAGTTGTCCCTTTTCTCTTGGGGTTTTACTCCGCTGTAGTTTATCATCCTCAGTTCTCAGAATAGCAGAATTCCCTGGTAGGGCCCACCAAAATGGGGAGGAGGGGTCTTTCCTTAAGACCTTTTCTTTCTGTCCTCCTGACAGAAGAGAAGTGTTAGACTTTTCGGTGCAAAGAGTTTTACTATGGAGATCATCACCAACAGAGCAATCCATAGTGAGTGAAAGATTGAAATGGCATCATTTTAGATATATTGTGGAGTAAGGAAGGGAAACTACCTGCAGTTTTAAAGTGTTTGCTTGTTAACTGCACCAATGGAAAGCTTAATTTCCTTGCAAGGAAGGGCGCTCTTTCTCAATGAAAAAGTTGAATGGCTGGTCTGGTGAGTATTGTCTTTTATTGACTTAAAATATGGTCCTTGTCATAAACTGTGAAAAGAGGAAGATAGGTCAGTAAAATGCGGAGTACCGTATAGCCAGAAAAGATCATCTAGTCATTCATGTTTAAGGCACTTTATGATATTGGTGAGTAATTAAATGTTAGAAATACTATTTAACTGAGTTGCAGAGCAAAATTCTGCAGCTCTAGCATGCGGAGCTACTAAGGACTTCAGGATGACACAGCTGATGAATTTTTTTAAGCCTTGAATTTGGTCACTTTCTAGGTCAAAATTTTTGTTACCTTCTTCCATTTTAAAAGGTTACAGAATGATTCAGTAACTCTTTCAGAGCTCATATGTTTGAATTGAAGTACAATAATTTAACAGATAAGCCTTCAGCAAATACTACTAAGAATTTGTATCCTCCATTTAAGTCTCCAGATGTATTACTGAGATGATGAAAAATTTGCTGTATGTTTATACACAGTATGTGAATGAAAGCCCAAGTTCTTTTTTTCTGTTTCAAATTACCTCACTCTATTGGGAGCAAAGAGGGGAGATAATGTATTAAAATAGGGACATTGCATCGTTTGCATCACAATTCTATGTGTGTAAATTTTTGGTGAAGTCTTTTGAAAGGGTTAACTTACAGCAACTTGAATTCTATACAGAATTTGGTAATAGAGCTGTAGCTCTACTGTGGCAAAATGTAGAAAAGCTGTACAGTTTCATTGTTCTTTGCCTCACGAGGAAATCAATAAGCTTAAACGAAAATAAATTCAATGTTTCTTTATTTTTAGCGTGACTTCCTAAGGAAGGCTTATGTCACTGCACTGCCCGTCCGCCTCTGTTCCCACTTGAGAATGTTTGGACAATTGCGGTCAAATCTAATGTAGGAGTCAAGTTTTCAAAGATGCAAAGTCTTCTACAAGATTAGTGAAAGTCAGTGACTAGGCAGAAAAAAAAACCCCAAGCGAACTCAAACTTAAACTGCCATTCTCCTCTCACTAAGCAATTGCAGTATGAGTTCAATGGTTGTCTGTTCCATTTAGATGTGGGCTGGTCAGGCAGCAAGTGAGTGTATGTTCTCAAAGGATCTGCTGTGCACTGCTGGCACTTAGGGGGTAAAAATACTATGGGGATTGCAAACAAGGAGAACCACAGGTATATGTGGGAGAATGGGGGTCAGTGGAATCAGAAGGGGGGCATGACTGCATTAAAAAAGGAAGAAGTTTAGTGCTTTAAAAAAATTAAAAGTACACAGAACCCAAACCACCCCAAATTCTTAGGGAATCAAGCTTCACCATCTCTGCCTCTCAAGGAAGAAATTCTTCGTATTGTAGAATACATGTAAGGAAACTTAACCAGACCGATACTGCTGCTGTTTTTACTGTAGTTTTGATGAAACATAGTACATAATTCTTAATATCGAGTTTGTTTTAGAGAACAATAATTGAAATTTTAACTGCATACTGTGAATTGCCTCCTATAATTTGACAATTCAACAGCTCTACATTCAAACCGAACTACTTCATGTTTGTATTTTTCCAGCATGGACTTACAGCACTCCAGGTTTTGTGGACACTGCTTAATTAAATTTGTAAAGCTATCCCATCTGCCTTAAACTTACTTTGCTTTGCAAGGACCTTTTGGGTAACTTTTACTTTCAAATTTATCTTAGTATTATGGCTATTGTTTTAATTGATGTACTAGAGTTTAGCTCACTGTTTCAGGTGATTTCTGACAAAGCTAACTGAATGCCTTGGAAAATGCTATGTACCGCAAATTTTGATTTTTTTTATTTTTTTTTCCCCCTGCTAGATTGTCCTCATCTGTGTAACCACTTGTGCTTTAGTTATGCTTTGTCTTAAAGTTCTCTGTCAACATCTGTTCTGCTCTCACATGATAAGAATAAGTGTAAGAAACTTCACGCTTCTGAAGCTGCCTATGCTCATTTCTTGTTAGCTGTACATAAAGATATTGCCATGTTTGACTTCTTACCAAATACAGCCAGTGATGTCTGTAGTCACTGTGATCCACATCGAAAACTTTTTTAAATGATGTAGAGTGTCTTGCTAAGTAATTGCCTCTGTAAACTCCTAAATAGTTTAAGTAGCAGTAGCAGATGTGCATTGTCTGTAGTTGGGCTTGTGCCAAAAGTGGAAGTGAGCGGTTAGAGCTGCCCTGGGATTTTTGTTGAGTGTTTCAGAAATTCCGTAATTGTCTGATTCAGACTTCCAGCAGAGGATTAAGTATTCTTTAATTTACCATGAGCACACCTTCTGGCTTTTATGCAGGCTTTGTTAATTGTTATTAGAATTTAGTTCTTGTTTTCCTGAAGATTTAACTTATGTTCATTTACTGTTGGTTTTGTCTTTTTTTTTTTTTAACAGGTCATCTGAACAAGAATCACCAAAGTGAGTTTTCTTTAAACTTCCTACTATATAATCTCTAGTTTTTAGAGATGTAATAAAATACAAAACTTGAACTGATTTTTCAAAGTAGTGGTCTTGTATGGTTAAAAGACACAAATAAAAGAAGATTGTAAAGATTGGGGGGGGGAAGCTTTTGGATCAGGATGTGTAAAATCTTAAGTCCTAACAGAGCCCTAATCACTATTAACAAAGAAGTTGGTTAAAAAAAGTGGTAAAAGTTTAATGATACAAAAATCCACTGGTAATCTTATCTGGTAACTCTTCATATAGTGCCAGAAGGCATTAACTGAAATAATTTGTCATATTTTTCTGGTATTGTTAATTTTTTTTTCTATACTGCAAAAATCATTATGATCTGTAATCTCAACTTGTAAGTGAAATGTTTTTTCAGAATTCCTATGTTCTGAAAAACTTATTAGGATGTTTTTACATATACAATGTTCCTCCTTGATTAACATCATCCTCATAGGAATCATGAAAAGTCCTGGAAGCTATCAGATGAAAACACAGTTTTGACAGTATAATTCCTTTAAGTGTCATTATAGTTCACTACTACAAAGTATTTTGAAATTATTGAGCACGCCAAGTAAATAATATCTCCCAAATACTGAAAATATATTTTCTGTAATAACTGAAAATTTTGCAAATGTTGCACAAAACACTTCACTCCCATTGCCAAGTACATGTAGTATAACTGAACATCAGAAATATTATGGCGTGAATACATTTGCTTGATGGCACCTTTCAGAATGTTTCATTTGTTGTAGTCAGATTTCCACAAGCCAAGAAATAAGTATTTGCATTATTAAAGTTTGCTGCAATGCAAGTCCTGTATGTTAAAAGCCTAAGCTACATTACTCTATAGTGTAATATTACTTCTTCATTGACAGCTAGCAGTGACTGCTGGAAATGGTTCAAGTAGCTAGGACTGGTTTTGCCATACACAGCACTGCATGTTAGTGATAGGAAACTGTGTCTGACCTATACCTGAGCTTTCCCCAGAACAGAGATTTTCACAAAGTATTATGTAGTATTTATAAAGACGGAGCAGTTACTTTGTATGGTATCTGTGAGTTTGTCCAGTTAAAGAAGGGGTTTAGTTGTATTAGAGGTCTGCGTTTCATCCTTTTCACAAGAGGGCATGTAGCTAAATGAGTGTTTGAAAGGACTTGGCGCACCACCAGGCAGCTCGGCCAATTCTAAGACTTGAGGTATTTGATTACTGGCTTTTGTTATTCATGAATTTTAAGGTTCTTGAATCACTAGGCCAGGTCTGCACCCCAATTTAATTCTGGGTCCTTCTACATGGTTATAACTACCTCAGTGACAGAATATATTAACTGTAATTAAACCTTTCATTGTCACTTCATCTCCTATTTCTTTAACAATTTACCATGCTTTTCTGCACACCACCTTCTCCCAGAGGGATAAGGTTGAGATGGCCCTTGTAAGAGGGAGGAATGAAAAAAAAAAGTGCTTCGCAAGACTGAGAGTGGAATCATGGCAAAACCTTTTCATGGGTACGATTGGCAACTGTGAAGTGCCTTTCCCCTGGGGTTCAGCTCTCTTCTTGTTACTGCGATTTCCTGTACCACTGCACCAGTGCCATTCACTGCTAACAGCCAAATATTTTGCTAAAAGTGTTTTTGCTACTCTAATTTTGGGGTTTTTTCCATTCTTCTGGATGTCCACTGATCAAACATTAGGCTTAGCTCATATTCCAATCCTGTTACCCTTCACTTCAAGAAGTGGTGTTAAATCTAAGTATAAAGTTGGCTTGCTCTTTTAAATGGGCAGTGCATTTGTATGTTTTACGATTTAATCTAAAAATCTGGATAACGATACCTTTGTAATATTTATTTATCCTTTTTAAATGAAGGAATGTATTGGGAAACAGTCCAACGCGGAGTTCTCTGACCCGTATCTCACCTAAAGCCTTGGCTCAGTCTCCCAATGGAGTTGGCAACATTTCTGGCTCTTACCCGTTGGAAGGGGTGGATAAACAGTTCTTAGAAACGTATGACAACGTTACAAAAAGTAGCTCAACGGAAGATTCCAGTCAGTACTACTGTGATAAGGTATGTTCAGCTGTGTGCTTTTAAAGTCGAAACTAGTACTGAATGTAGCTTTGAACTGTAGATTAAGAATGCACAAAAATTGTGGTTATATTTCAGGATAAGCATATTTTATGCAGTAATAAGAATAAATCTTGTCTTACTACTCCAATTTATCCGAGGCTGTGTACACAGTATGATAGGCCAGCCTGCCAACTGCATTGATTTCCATAGTGTCCAGGCTTCCAGAAGCAACTGTAGGAGAAGTTCCTAGTGGAATGGAAATCCTTACATGATTAAATCTTATTTTCTCCAAGTGGAAAGATCAGATAACTCAGTTTGCTATATGTCTTGATAGCAGGCACAATTCTGCTTTATCCCAGGCATCTCTTCTTCAGGCTGGCTAAACATCATCCTTTGAATTCTGCACTGACTAGAGAGCAGCTGCTCCTTGCTAATGTTACGGTAGTGGATCATTCCTCCCCTTTCTCCAGCCTGGTCCAGATGGGTGCTAAACAGCTTCCTAACCTGCCTGTCCCGTAGCTGCTGCCAACTTTTAATCCTTCTGCCTTGTGGATCTTTTGCAGAAGATACCAATGCACCCATTTACAGGAGAAAAATTGGAGAAAAAGTAGTCACTTCATAGTCCTTAGAGTAGAATTGTTTCAAATATGTTGCACCTAACATTTTTTCCTTTTAAGTCACCTTTAGTAAAGACAACACATTGAAAATTTTAATAGAAGCTATCAATTGACAAAGCTAAGATGAGAGTAACAGTGTTAGGACAGAGCAAGCAGTGAATATATTTGCTGTTATGTGTGTTGCTATTTTTACAATTTAAAAGGTTACAATCATGAGTATATTCTGTAACATTACCTTCTTCCTATTTTAAACATGGATTTACATAGACTATTCTTGTTCAGCACATCTAAATTTGAATGTGCTATTTTTTAATTTGCTGCTGTTTTCTTTTAAAAATTAGAAAAGTTTGGGTTTGTTTTTTGTATATATTGCAGAATGACCTAATTGAGGGAGATCTACTTTTGGTGCGTATCATACCAGATGAAGATGGGAAGTTTGGATTTAATCTAAAGGTAAAACAGCAATCTTTTAGTTATTTTTAAATGCTTTATAGACATACTATTCTTCGACTCTATGATTATTTTTCTTTTTTAATGCAATGCTTTGGAGAAAGCAGTATATTCTACAGGAATTTCTTATGGACCAAGATCTTTTAAAAGTGGCAGCCTAATCCTTAAATGCTAAAGCAACATTTACAGAAATAAGCCTCTAGTAGTTCTGTGGGATTTAGTTGCATATACTATAGGCATGGCACATTTCCAAAGCAGACTGCCTATTTGGCTGCTTAAATATGAACTTGGAAGCCTAATTTAAGGCATCAAATTTTGGAAAACTGGACCTCTATTATAAAACAAGTTAAATGGTTTTTGCTATCCAATTGAATATATCCATTAAAAAATCCTATTGGAAAGGTGAAAATTAATTTATGAAGGAAATGGAAATTACTATTGAAATTTACTATTGTAAATTTTTTACATTTCCTCACTGAAATTCCATTTAAGCAGATACAGTACTGTAAAGTAGCCATAATATCAAAATTGAGGCGGAGTTTGATCTTTTCACCTTGGGCATTTATTGGTGGGGCAGTGATAGAACGTCATGTAAAGAGAATAAGGGAGTACAGTTGTCTGGAAATTTGATCCTACCTGATCGATTGCAGGTCCATCAAAACGGCTAAGAACACTGTCCACCCTGCAAGTTCACATGTTGAATTGAGCTTGCTTGAAGGGTAGGGTTAGAATGAATGCTGCATTTGATCTGTTTATTGCCTATTAAAATGTATGGCCAAGCAAAGACACTGGCTGTATTTTACTGGAAATTGGTAGAATTAAAGACACTACCCCCCCTGCCATTTACTGATGAAAATTCAATCTTGCCGACTCGGCCTATGACAGAGCATAAAGTTTATATAAAAACAAAGAAAAGTGATTACTTGTTTTAAATGCTGCTTATGCTTAATGGTATATTTATCGTGGTTGTTTACTTGATGTTCCTCTAGGGTGGTGTAGATCAAAAAATGCCATTAGTGGTATCAAGAATAACTCCAGGATCACCTGTAAGTAAATCTTTAAGACTCTTAATCCCTTCCTTTATTACTCTGCCCACCACTCAGAGGTCCATACATGTAGGAGTTTGGACACCCATAACCAGTATGAGATAGCAGCTGAGCTGTTCTCTTTAGAAATTGATTTGACCAGTGGTTTCTTAAACCACAGATGAAAAGATCTGGAAGTGTTAGCCAGACAAGATACCAGTAGAAAGCATGTTTGTTTCCCCCGTCATCTCAAAAAGTGCATCTTGAACTGGAAAATGTTTGATGAGGGACAAGAGCAATGACTGAAGATATGGAACAGTGTTCATTAAAGGAGTGAGTAGTCTCATTTCTTTAGAAGAAAGAACTAGTTTAAGGGAGATGTAGTAGGGATCTGTAAGATTAGGAGCTCTGTGAGCAGGGAATTCCAGCAGAAGAACTACAGGCTACCAAATGAAGTTAGTGAAAGTCAGGCTCTTCATGCTTAGTGAAGTAGTTATTCATGCATAAGACAGTAGACCTGTGAAACTCCTTGACAGAGGATGCTGTGGTTAAAATAATTTTGTGGATGTTCAGAAGAGGACAAATACTTGGGAGAAAAACCTGCTGATAGCTACTGAATAGACAAACCACAATAGATTGAGGAAATCCTTAGGGCTAAAAATATTTATGGGATGGGAAAGTACTTGGCAGGGGAGAGGTGGTGCAGAATAAGTTTGCTCTGTTCTTATTTTGCATGGATTTTTGCTTATGGAAATATTTATGGACTTATGGACTAGGTGGAACGTTCATCAGAATCAGTACAACCATTGAATTCTTCTGTTGAATTGTGAAATAGTAATATAACATCTTAGTAACTTTTTTCTCAATAATTAGTACATAAATTTGCGAGGACATATGTTATCTTATCTCAAATTTTTTTCACTCATCTTCTTCCAAATTGTATTTCCCAACTCTCAAAATAATTTCAGTGCAAACTTGATTGGAAATACTGCTGACTTAATCCTAAAAATCCAATATGCTCTGTGTCTTGTAGATTTCTTGAAATTTGATAAGCAGTTACAGGACTGATATCTAAATGTTGTGATGTAAATCAAGCTAAAACGGATTGTCTGAGAAGTTGGTTTTGCCACATTTATGATTTATGACTTATGCAGTGCATAGCATTCCTCTATGAACTACAATAATTATTTGAATAAAAGAGTAGTAGGAAATGATCATTATAACTTAAATCCACAAAGTGAAAATAAAACCATCCTTAAAACGTTTCATGGTCAACCTAGTAAACTTCTTGAGGATGAGTCGAGATACTGAAGTTAATGTGGGGCAAACAGGCTCATTACACAATCAGAGAATGAATGATGCTTCTCCAGAGGCAGTGAGTTCCTTTGGCAGACTCAGGTTGTCTCCTGGAAAGTATTGATTTGGATTTTTTTCTCTTGGATTGAAAAAGGACTGGACTTCTAACTTACACACTTCATTTAAGTGTCTCCAATTAGTGGCATAGGCATAGATGCAAGTGATGAATTAGATCTGTAGCCTCACTAAGCCACCAAGCAAGCAAGTTATCAAGGGTCAGGGAATAAATTGGAAACAGTTATCCAAGATGATATACTCAACAGCAGCATTAAGAAATCATGTCATGTTACAGCAAGAGGAAAAAAAATAAGTATTTTTAGAGCATAGCAGTATTAACGTTGATTATATTGTTTTCCATAAACTAAATTTCACCTGTTCTTGACTGTTTAATGAAATGTAGCTGATACTTGAAAGTTCAAGTTAAGCAGCCTATGGAATGCATTTCTTCATTATTAGATCAATGATGCCTTTCCTTCATTGTATTTGCTACAGTTTTAACTTGCTCTAGATTCACTCGTTACCCTGTAAGTTGTCCTCAGGGATGCTGTTTGGTAATATTATTTGCTAAGATAATTTCTCAGGTTTGCAGGTTATTTTTTGCCCCTTTCCTACAAAAAGATCTGTTCCTTTTGTGGAGGAGGGGAAGCAAATCTACTCACCAAAATAAGGCAGTATTTTCTCTTTCATGTCCTAAAGTTCTTTTAAAAATCCCCGTCTAATACAGCAGCAATCTACTATGCTGGGAAGATTGTAGGACAGACTAGCCAAAATTGTTGTGGGGGAGCATTACATCTAATCAACCACCATTTGTTGCAACTGGTTTTTTTGTTTTGTTTTTTTTTTTTAAACTAAAATCCTAAACTGATTTTTTTTTTCCATAAAAGGTATTAATGTCCTAAGGTGCTAAAGGAGTCATTTATGGTTTTATTTAATAGTGCTTCTCGTTGAAAAATAATAGGCGTGCTTCTTGGAGCAATAATAAGGTGATTAGCATAAAATGAAACATTGGGTGTGTCAATAGGACAGGAAGCCTTTGACATAATTAATTGTCTGGAAAAGCTCGGTATCTGAAAAATCTACAAATTATGCTTACATAGAAGGAATTAATTCTCCTTCAAGATATATTTTATGTAGTCAGATGATTCAAGTAGGAGAGCTGAGGCATTAACATGTCACATGATTAACAAAGTTTCTTTGCACAAAGATATTAATCTCCTTCTGTAATAAAGAATAATAGCTAGCAGCCAGCCAAGAAATCTAAATTATAGACAAATATAGGAGATCAGAAACCATTCCCTCCGTTTTCTTGTTGACTTCTTGACTCTCCTAGACTGACCTGATATGGTCTTTATATCACTTATCTTTTCAAATAATTATATTTCAGAGAGAATAATTTATATCTCAAACAGTAATATTTCAGAGTGATTAAATCAATCATTCATAGTTGCATTCTTCAGCCTTGCCTTTGTAAATTGTACAAAATATGGCAAGGCAGTTTTTAGGGAGCCTTGAATACCTAGATAAATCAATGCTGAAGAACAGCATGGTTGTTCCCAATTCCCATTCTTTTCCTGTTTACATTTGGGTTTTTCATTAATCATTGTCAGTCTTCCCTATCCTTCATCATTTTCTTTCCTTATTTCTTTTAAAGAAGTTGGGGGAAACTATTCCTTTTTTAAATGTTTGAGCAGCTTTTCTGCTTGGAATTTTTTCCTCTTAAATACATCTTTCGTTTCCCTCTCTTCTTTCTTTTCTCCTTTATCTGTTTTGTGGCATTCATACATGTCTTAAGTTTTCTTTCCTTTTACTTTATTCTCTGACACAAGTGACTCCCAATTTATTTTCTTCTTCATATCCTTGCCTCTATTTTCTTTTTATTCTGCATTTTTCTTCTTATTGGTTCTTTCATTAACACTTCTTTCCACCTCTTCCTATTTTTCACTTAGTATATAGTACATCACTGATAAACTTGGTTTATGAGCCATCAATGCAAGGCATAGCAAGGATTGGGTCTAATTAGAACATCTTGTTCACATATGGGGGGTTAGTGATGGTTTTATGATAGGGCTAATAACATTGGATGAATAAAGTTCAGGGAACCTGTGCTGGCATTAAGGAAATATAGGGAACACCTACGACTAGAGAATAACACTAAACGTCTATGACTTATTTGTATAACAAATGAAATGGAGTATATATAAGTATATCAAGATATCATTCTTGTGTCGTTGGATACTTCCTAGACAAAAATTAGCATAGCAATGAAAATCAAATTGTTACAGTACTTGACACTCAAAGGTTGTAGAATCCTGCACATTGACATTACAGAATCACAGAAGGTTGGAAGGGACCTTGAGGTCATCTTGTCCAACCCCCCCGGATCACCTAGGGTCAGTTGCCCAGTACCATGTCTAGATGGCTTTTGAATACCCCAAGGTGGGAGACTCAGCAACATCTCTGGGCCACCTGCTCCAGTGCTCAGTCACCCTCACAGTAAAAAAGTGTTTCCCGATGTTCAGATGGAGCCTCCTGTGTTTCAATTTGTGCCTGTTGTCTCTTGTCCTGTCACAGGGCACCACTGAAGAGAGCCTGGCTCTACCTTCTCTGCACCTTCCCTTCAAGTATTTATATACATTGACAAGATCCACCCTGAGCCTTCTCTTCTCTAGGCTAAACACTCCCAGCTCTCCTAGCCTTTTCTCATCCAGGAGATGCTTTAACCCCTTAATCATCTTTGCAATATTATCATCATCATATTCTGGCCATAGCCCAAATTGCTTTGCACTGGCCTTAGAGCTAAGCATACTATGAAGTGTGGCAAAAGAAAGCCAAACAAACCCTAGAGTTCAGTAGTTAGTCTAAATTGCTGTATCCAAGACAAGACATAATGTAAGTTTTCATCTGAGATGGGGAAAACCTTGTCTTAGTGTTCTCTGCAGCACAAGTAGCAAAAGAATTTGTCACAAATGCAGGGTACTTGAGCATCATAGGTTGAGTACTTACCTGCATCTTCTTGTTAAAACTTTCAGCGAATGAAGTGAGGAAGACTGTTCTCTATTTGTAGATATCATTTGATATCCACCAAACAAGAATTTTATAAATAACAAAAATGTGAAATGTGCATGGATTTCTTTAAATTTTAAAAAGTACATGCCTGGGGAATGTCATGTCACTTAATGTTCACCAGAATCATGTTTGGACTTCTCAGTATTCACTGCATAAAAAATGAAGCGTGTTATCTTATGTGCCCAAAACACTTTTTCCAGAAATTCATTTGCCAATGGCTATAACCAGGGGTTGTTGAGGCTTGGAGTCTGAAATTTAGATCTTTAAGAGCAATCTGATGATGGCTGCTTAATAAATACAAATTCTTTTTATAGCTATCAATATGCTGTTTGAACTGTTTCTCGTTTTCATTGTGAGGCTTTGAAGCAAGAAAGACAGCTTTAGGTCTGAATCCTTTGATAGAACTTCTGATACAGAAGATGAAACCTTGTCAGGAGAACTCTGAAGACTTTGCTTACATGATGAACTTAATATCCTGATGTGTTCCTGCTTACATGACTGGATGCAATGACATTAATGTGTTTCTTTGGTCTTGAAACAGGCTGATAAATGCATTCCAAAACTGAATGAAGGTGATCAGATAGTATTAATTAATGGCCGAGATATCTCAGAGCACACGCATGACCAGGTGGTCATGTTCATAAAAGCCAGCAGAGAATCTCACACGAGAGAGCTTGCACTTTTGGTCAGGCGGAAAGGTAACTGGGCTAATTTTGTTCACTTTTAATGTTTTTGAGACTGTTGCTCTTATGCTTGGTGGTATACCCTTTTCTGTTTACATAAATGTGTTCTCAGCGCACTGGGAATAGGTCTGTGCTAAAAAGTAGAACTCCCTGCATTTGAATTAGTAGTGCAAATAGTTTTAACTATATAGGTTCTTAGCACTGCAACAAAGAATCTATCTAGTTAGAATTTCTTTTTATTTAAGTTCTAAAAATCTGTGAAAACAAATAGTCCACTGCAAAAGTTTGTGGTTTGTTTTTGATTTTGAGTGTTGGGGGTTTTTTTTAAATATAGCATAATTTCACGAATCCCCAATTGCAGGTTTGCAAATACCCCTGGGCTGTTCCCCAGCACAATTATACAATGAAACAAGTTAAATAAGCTTCTTTTTCTTTTCTTTCTTTCCATTCTTACAATAGACATTTTGTGACAATACTGACTTTGACTTGTGCTGGCTACTTGCTAAACTGCTGCCACCAAACAGGAGACAATCTCTGAAATATGCAGGATCCTAAGCCTGCATATTTAAAATATGGGGAACCCATCCAGCTTGGTTTTGCTTGCTCTGTATTGAAACACATGCAGGTCCCAAGAGCTTTCAGATGATGTGAAACTTCTACTTTATTATTTACTTTCCTGAAGAGCTGTCGTAAGACCTTAACACGCACAGTTATGGAAAGGTTTGCACAGAGTTTCTGATTACATTAAGACTTAAAAATCTGAAGGGATTATGCATCACTGGGAAACAGGACAGAATAAAACTGCCTAAATGATATATACTTCTGTAGCATTTACTTTATTTAAAATTTCTTGTGTTTCTAGGAAGACAGATGGGCTCTTGGTCTTGATTGCCCTGAACAGTCCCACTCCTGTTATTGTAGGTCTTTCTATTGGTTCTATGCAGTATTCAGTCTTCCCGTAACTTTTCTAGTCCCCTTCTTACTTGCAGATAAGAGAAGTCTGCTCTTAGTTAAAGATAACCTGTGGCCTCATGCCAGTTGTTTGTATAGGCATGAGTATGAACAGCTCCCCATTTTCTGAAGTCGGGCAGGTATGAGTCATTCTGATCATTGCAGAGAATAACCACAGCTGAACATGTTTGGTGATACAATAGCTTTCATAGAGATAGGACTGCTGTGTAGATTAATTAATATTTGTCATGTTCTTTAACATGTTAGCAAGCAATGTCATAGAAAACTGATTAATACATTTTTTTGTAGTTTATTAAGTTAGTTACTCCAATGTTAGCATTTGAAATTGCAAAAGATAATTCAATTGCTTCTCTAATGGCAAGGGAGTACAATGTAAGTATGTTCATGTTTGTTTTGCTATTGGGAGTCCAAACTTATATAAGCTTCTTACAGAGATATTCCATTAATTATGCTCTAAACCTTCTTAAGCAAAACTCATTTTTTTTTTACCATGGTGGATGTTGTGATTCATTAGCCTATTCAGCAGTTCATTCTGTAAGACAAGGTTGTAGCAAAAAACTCTTTGTCCTTGGAGGTCAAGTTCTTTGCCTTCATAGATAGGCACCTTGAGGAGTTGCTTTTTCTGAAAGGTCATAAGGGCATTTTATTCCTAGTAGTTTCTACAGTAACATAGAGAAATGCAGTTAAATGTGTTGCTGTTTGCTTTTCTGAGGCCTTGGCTTTGCAAACTTTGTTGTTCTTGCAAGCTGGTAAATTTTAGTATGTGTTGCAAACACATTAATGCTGTATGTAACAGACTTTAATTTTCAATACATCTTTCAGTAGTTAAACAGTTTGTGGAGCCTAAATCAGAAGACGAAGCTGACTCCCACAATCTCCCAGAATCTCTTCTTCCAATCTGTTCCGAATATGGTGGTGATACGCTGGAGGAGTCTATGGAGCAGCTAGGAAGAGGGCTGGAAAGTGGGACTGTCCTTATTCAGTTTGAGGTAGGTAATACTCGACTCTCAAACGCCATTAATATAGACCAATAGCTGTGACCAGCAAGTAATGTAAGGGCTTAATTAATTGGAAATCTCATTGCTCCTGTTCAGACTTATCTCAAGAGAGCAGGAATGTGACTTGCCCATTGTTTTCACCCTTCACTACTTAGGTTAGGGAAGAATGAGCTATCAGTCTTGCATTAAACATCATCTGCTGAGAAAAATGTGTTTTAATGAACATGTTTCTAGCTCAAGTAGCCAAAGATCACTACGTTAGTATTTTTTTTTCTTAATTATTTTATTGAGTAGAATAGTGGCATTTTGACAGAGGCCAGTCTTGTACTTTGCTGCTTTTTTCCATGCTGCTCAGTGCCATTTCAAAAACATTTTTTATATCTTAAGTTAGGGTTTCAAGTTCTGACGTGTTGCCTACTTTCACAGAATAACAGTAGCAGCTTGACCATTCCTCATCATCTGCTCTTAGAGGTTGATATGAAAGTGTTGGAATGTTAATTTCCATTTGCAGGATACTTGTAATGTCCAGTTCTGTGGTGTTTCTCCCTGGTGATCTAAAACTCTGATGGTTACTTCTTGGGCAGATTACTTCATAGGTGAGATTCCCCTATATATATAGGATGAGACTTTGAAGAACTGCTGTATAGATTAATGAATTAATGTTTGTCATGTTCTTCAATGTGTTAGCAAGGAATGTCATAGAAAACTGAATAATAAGATTTTTTATAGTTTATTAAATTAGTTCTTTCAGTGTTAGCTTAAGAAATTCCAAAAGATAGTTTAGCTGCTTCTCTAATGGCAAGGGAGTACAGTGTATGCATGTTTGTGCTTATGTTGCTGTTATGGTTCCAGACATTTATAGTAACTTTGGAGAAACCCTGGTTATTATGATTTATAAGTTTCACATTGTTGAGTTCTGGAGTAACCCTTTCTGATGCTGAAAACTTGTAGAACAGCAATACAATTTTTCCCCATTTTGATATTTTTTCCTTCATAGTTTTTTCAAATGCCATAAGATTTGATGGTGGTAGCTGAGGAGATGTGGTCTTCCTTATTGCATGACCACTCTTTTTATCAGGTTTGCTCTGTTTCCAAGATTTCAGAGAGTTAAGATTTCCCCCTTTTTAAGGAATTGTAGACTATGGTTCACAGCTGCTTTCCAAAATCCACAGCACTTGTTGCAATGCAACAATAGCAATGAGCCTGTTGGCTATTGAAACAGTAACTCAAAAGATATGAACTAGTCTTTCAACTCTGAATTGTCAAGCCATTGACTAAATTTGTGCACAAAGTTCCTGTAATAATCTTCATAGAACATTTGATCCTTTATGACTTTTTTTCCTGACAGCACTTATAAAAGGATATTACTGCTGTTACAAAAAAGCGCAAAACCTTTTTGAAATCTAATAAACTAGGGGCCAGCTTAGTGGCCTTTCTTTGAGTTCACTGTTTAGTGATCTTCAGAAGCAGATACAATGGCAACATCACCTCATCAGCTTTGGTGGCTCTCAAACTCTCTATTCACATTAGTAAACTAGTAAATAATTAGCCAGTAGGCTATGAATAATCGTTTTTCCAGAATATCTTCCTCCACTTAAGCAGAGTTTAAGAAGTCTGTCAATGGCAAATGACTTTTTGCCAGGCAACAATAATGAAGCTCCAGAATTGTTACTTATCATTATTCTTCCTTGTGCCCCAAAAAAGCAGAAATCACAACTTGGTTTTAGTAAAATGGAACTTGAGTTATAACTGATAGAAGCTGTTTGGTTACATATATTATCAAGTTCTCTTCTCTCATGGCTTGTTTATGCTGTTCAAGTTGGAAAAATGTGGTAAGCTGTGATACCAAGTCTTAGGATTCAGTAAATCTCACAGTAGAATGAATTTTTTGTGTGTTGTTCCTTTTCTCTCAACCGAAGTAGGGGATTTTAGCCTCCTGTTTGTTTCATTCCATTTTATGTATGGACCCATATTCTAAATCTTCATTAAACATGTGAGATAAAATGAGCTCTTTGGTAAGTGTTCAGTGAAGTATATAAAACTCTGGCACAGCCAGGTAAATAACTTAGTTGTAAGTTGGTTTCATGTGTATGTAATACAGAAAAACTGTACTTGTATAATTATATTTCTTGATTTTTGTTGTTTGTTTTTTTTTCCCCCTTCTGTACCTTTTGTTGTCTTGTACAATGCACTTAATGCATGTTGACCTTAAAATTTGGTTATACACTTGTATGCCTACATTTACTGCAGATAAAGTTTGCAAGATAGGGGTTGGCCCAAAAGAAAGGGAGCCACATGTTAAGAGATTGCGATACATTGAAGCTTTGTTTTTTCAGGTACTCGGAGGATTGAATGTGGTGGGTTTAGTCCAGAAAAAAGTTTGTCTGAGTTTTTTTGTGTTACAGTTGGTTCCAGAAAATATCAGTCTGCAGCTTTTTTTTTTCTTGTGATGTCTTTTATTGCTCACTTCTTCTACCCTTAACTGCTGTTTTCCTACTGGCCCACAGTTTTATTAGAAAAATGCAATCTTGCAGGGAAACAGTTTATGACTCTCACATTTCCTCTTTTTTTTTTTTTTCCTAGAAATTCCTCTAGAGATGATGATGGGCTAGCAATAACAGACATTCTTGTCATGTTAAATACAAAAAACTCTCAGGTGAATTTTGCAGATGGTTAGGAAAAAGATTAAAGAAAGTAACTTCTGATTTTTTATTTTATTTTATTTTTTCAGTCTATGTATTTTCATGTGAATCTATTTAGGGTGTACATAGCATAATCACACCCCTCAATCCTACCATTTTACATTCTGTTTTGCAGCAACTTTATAGAAAGAAACCAGGGTTGGCTGTTACATGTGCAAAAGTACCTCAGAATATGGATAAGAATAGATATAAAGATGTTCTACCTTGTGAGTATTAAGCACAGTTTCTGCCTTTTTTGCCTTATCCTCTAAATGATAGCTTATAAACTGTTGTATTGAACTTCTTGATTAAAGATTTCATTATATAATCAAAGTCATATAATTGTTCATTTTATTTTCTAAAAGGTAATCTATTCTGGTTTGTATTTTGCTGTTTGCACATCTGCAATTCTTCAGGTTTTTGACTTAGTAGAAGGGAAGCATGGCCCTTAATTGCTAATTTTATTCCTTCTGGTTTTTGTGTGTGTGCAGATGATGCCACAAGGATAATATTGCAAGGGAATGAAGATTACATTAATGCAAATTACGTGAATGTAAGTCAGAGGCCTGTACTTGCTCACTTTCTATATTACAATAGCAGACTAAATTTAGCCTTTTTAAGGAATAAGGGGGTTTTATTTTATATTTGGGGAATTAGCAAATGTAAAAGATATAAAAAATTTGTAATGTAAAAGATGAAGCGTCTCCTGTGAAACAAGTGGCCATCCTGATACACAGTAGATGCAATCATGTGGTATACACTGTAATATGTGCAGAGTCATTAACCAGTAAAAATTGTTTTACCTTTCCATGTACTGTAAATGCTGAGGTTGTCTTAGAGCTTAAAACTAAGCCTTTTTCCCTATAGAACCACTTACGGCCTACCAACTATGCTATGAAGAGTCCAGAAGATAAACCAGAGCCCTGATTGCCCTAATCATGTGTGTAGGCTGGGAGACAGGGAAAAGAGGGGAAAATATATAGATGTTTGTCAGATACTTAAGTTAAACACCTGAACCACAGAATCAGCTATTAACTTACTGTGTCTAGTATCAGGCAATAAACCGCTTTTGCTAGTGTACCTTTGATACACCTTGCCATTATTCCTTACCAAATACTAAAGAAAATTTGGAAAGCTTTGCAGTTTGAAGTTTTCAAATACATTTTCACTGTTTATCATCTTTTCCTAGGTCAGCATGAAGGACTATAGAATCTATAGTATACAACTGGTTTAAATTAAATATTTAAAGATTTTTCACATAACAAATTGTGATCTTGATCATCTTATTACTCAGCTTGCCACCTTAATCTTCCCTCAAAACTTCCTGTTTGAATGAAATGCTGAATTAAAATAGTACTTGACTAGTGAGAGCAAACTTTACATAGGATTTTTCTTTCTCTTTATAGATGGAAATTCCTTCTGTGGGCATTGTGAACAGGTACATTGCTACTCAGGGGCCTCTTCCACACACATGTGCACACTTCTGGCAAGTAGTCTGGGATCACAAGTTGTCACTGATCATCATGTTAACAACTCTCACTGAAAGAGGACGGGTAAGTGTTCAGGTTCTTTGTATGCTGAAGAAATGTACTGTGCCTCTAAACTTTTTTCCCATTGTTATGATTAAATAACCCTAAAATAGGCCAGCTGATTCTGTTGAATCATTTCTATGAAGGCCAGGCTTTCTGAATTACTTAGAGGAACAGATACTCTGCAACTTTCTTTTAGTTATGCTGCTTTGAAAATAAACCAGCTGTCTGATAAACAGAAATCACTGTATTGACTCCGTCTTGTTGGTCAATCAGGTACTATGTGCTGTCATTTTTTTTTCCCCCTGAGAACTGGGCTCCATGTGGCCATTGCTTTCCTAACAATTCAGCAGACGCCTGGAAACATTGAGCAGGTTGAGCAAAACTTGTGGTCTGGCTTCAAATAAGAGCCTGCCATTGGAGTACTTACTAGTTTTAGCATGCTGGTGGTCAGAATTAAACCTGATTGCTTTTATTTATGTTGTAGTTTCTTTACTAGAATTGCTTCGATAATTCTTTTAATTCTGTTTCAATAAATTCTAGAACTCCATTAATTTCAGAATAATACAGTGAAAATTAAAGCAGTATATGGTGCATTCTGTTGTACTTTGATTTAACGTATTATTTGTAGCTTTAAAGATGAAGTTTTTAGATTATTAATGCACATAAAGGGATTGGTTTTGAAGTTTTAGAAGCTGAAAACTGAACAGGTTTTTTTTAAGAGGTGGAGATGATGACTTCTATATGCCTTCACTGTAGCCTTTATCGTTACTTCCTATGTGATCTATCCTACACTATCAAATTTATCTGGCATCCCAGTCAAAAACCAATGTTTTCTGGAAAGCAAGAGAGTGAGTATTTGAGGTCCTAAACAGCATAATGATTGACACGTAAGTAAGAACAGTTAATCAACAATGTAATTCCTCATTGAAATGTATGAAAGAAGTGTGAAAGCTGAAAAGCAACAGCTTTTAACCATGGTCATGGTACGTAGCTGGTCACAGTTTTATTTCCATGGATGGAGATTCCACAGCTTCATAGGGTATCTTGTTTCTGTGCTTGACCATCCTCACAGAATTTTTTTGCCAACTTCTAATCAGAATTTCCCTTTTTGAATCTTTTTTTCAGTCACCTCTTGTCCTTTCATTGTTCGCTTTCAAGAAAACTGTGGGTCTGTCTTCAGCCACCTAATAGCAAGTTATAGCAAAGTTAGTTAAAAATTTGTCCCCTACACTTTTCTTAAGGCTGAATAAGTCTATCTGTTTCTCCTCCTACATTATGTCTTCAGAAGTCATTTTAGCAATTGCAGATAAGTACCAGACAGAAAGCATCTTGCATCCAGTTTACCTGAATTTTTATTATAAATGACTAAAACGTTTATAGAGAATTTAGTCTATTTTGTCATGCTGTTTTCCAATTTGGATGTAAACACCTCAGGAACAAACCAGAATAGATTTTTATACCGCTCCTTCAATTCCCTGATCCATAGCATTGGAGGGGAGACTGGAAACAGAAGTGCCTGTATACTGTCTTGATGTTTGCTTAATTTTCTTTACAGACCAAATGTCATCAGTATTGGCCTGATCCACCAGATGTAATGGAATATGGCAGCTTTCGTGTCAGATGCCAGTCTGAAGATTGTACGATTGCCTATGTTGTTAGAGAAATGGTGATTACGAATGTTGAGGTAAACACCCGTTATCTTTAATTATCCCCAAGCAAGCTGAATGAATACATGTATAGATAGATAGATATAGACTCTGTGTCTAAGCATGTACGTCCCTGTGTGTGAATATAAAAGTGTGTGCATATATATATACACATTTTTAGAAAAAGAATATTAATATATTATATTAATCAACATAGTATGATTATTTCTTTACAGCTTCTCTAAAAACACACTTTCTGAAGTTCTATAATACATTATGCCGTACAGGTACTGTAATAAGCTTCATAAAGATGTTTAGTGCTCTTCTGTAAACAGTTTTGCAGTCACTGACTCTTCACAAGTATTTTGATTTTCAATGAGGTTTTTTCCTAAGTAACTGTGCTCTTTCAAGGATGACATATGGGTCACTTGGTTAATGGCACATGCAGCTAGAATAGCTAACAAAGTGAAGCGTAATAATAATGTTTTGAGAGAAGATGCAGAATCTCACCAGTTCCTTTTCATTGTCTTTAGCCCGATTTTAAAAAAAGAAAAAAAATCCTTATATATCTCAATTGAAATGTGCTCGATTTATGTAAGGTACTTATATACCATAGCTGTTAATACTTTATGCCAATTGAAGGGTTATAAAGCAAAGAGAAAGTTAAATACACGGAATACTTCTTATATATCAGCTTGTGTTGTGAAATCTATGTTCAGATCGCATCTAGACTTCCCACAACCTGAATATATGGGATGTAGTGTGGCTTTTGTTTGTAAGTTGTCCTACATTTCTTATACAATTCCTTCTCATCACTTTTCTAAAATTCTATGGTCACAAACATTTTCTAAAAAGATGAAGGGTTTGAGCTATCATAAGATACATGTGTAAGAAATCACTGTGTAATGACCAAATGCTAACTTACAGTTCCAATACTAGTCAGTCTTTTAAACTTCTGTATAGTTAAGTAGATTTTACTGTTACTAGAATTGCTAGTAGTAAGAAAAAGAAAATGTCTGGTTTAAAATGTAACATTTAATTGATGTTCTTACAGCAAGATGACCCACGCTTTAGTCTTACAAATCTGTGACTGAATTTATCACTTGGCAGTGCATCCAAATTTGTTTTAATATGATTAAGACTTCCTTTGTAATCATAAACATGTGAGATGCCAGTACTTTAAGGTCTTTCAGTTAAGATGGTTTACAGTGTTTCAGTTTCTAGCTATGAGAAACCATCCAGACAGGGAGCAGCATGATTTTTTGGTTCTGTTTTTCAGCCAATTAATCTGTAAGTGATAAACTTGAATGTCAGCACAGAAGAAACAAACCTCATTAAAGCAGTACTGCAGAGTATAGGCAGACAAAATTTTAGTCCCTGTCACTCAAAGTAGTTGATTGCCAATTAACTTGGGTTAGCTAATGCTTCATGTAAACTATTACACTTTACTCTTCTCAAATACTCGTTCTTTTTCTTGGTTAGTATTTATCAAAACAGTACATAGTTTTGAGTAAATTCACTAGTTAACTGTATTCACTACGTGTTTTCACTTCAGGTGTCTATTTACTAGCATGTGAAAGTCAAAATCCTAATGAGAATGGGGCAGTCATTTTTTTTTTAATACAAGTTAATTCTTTTTGAGTTGTGCGAGAATATAGTGTACCTTTGTAGACGTGTTAACAGATGTGAAAGTTACAGGGATCTTCAGCTGTGTGAGTTGTCTCATGATAGCTCTCAGCTGAGAACATCCTTTCTCAAGCAAAGGCATATGCTTGAGTAGATTTCATCTAGGTTAGACAAAAGCATGCTAAAGTTAGTCCTAGGTGGATGTGTGTTTGCAGTGAGGGTAAGGTTTTGGTTTGGTTTTTTTTTTCTTCACTAAAGGCAAGTTTACTTGTACACTTAAATAAAGTGGCTACACTCTAAAGAGCACTGAACACTGAGCTGTCTATATAATAACAACAAAAATAGATAGCTCTGTGTGCATTTGGCATTTCAGATGGAAATAAAAAACCTTTGTAGCTTGTTAAAACATAGTGAAAGAACTTTCTGAAACACTGAAGTATCTCCTAGGTTTACATGTCATTTGAATTGCTTTCTTAAAGCTGACCAAATGTATTCTATAGAAGGCACCTTGTGTTTGAGTAGACTTGGCAAAGCTTTATATGTACTACCTCAAACAGATATTGTTATTGTATTCTTTGAAGAATACGTAAAAAGTCATCTGAATTCAAACCAGGGTTTTATTATTCCCTGAACTAATGTGAGCGTCATCGGACTGGTCTTTTTGAAGACAAGTAGCTTTTAATAGTGAGATGGATAAAGCTTCCAAACTCACAAGAGACTTGCTTTCTGTTGGAACAGCATATTTGTGAAAGACTTTCCTGTGAATTAAGTTGCATAGGCTTCAAATCTGCCTTTAGGGGAAAATAGCTCAAAAGAGAAGTTTATGAAAAGATGCCCTTGGCCTTTTGTTCATATATGTTCAGGAGACTTGATGAACAAGAAACTTTTTAGGATTTTTCTGATGCGGTTTAACTGGGTACTTAACTCGGTACTTCTTTACCTGTCACTGAAGATCAGCAAATGACTGCAAATGTGTGAAATATTTGTAACCTTTCTAAGCCTCATGAAATGAAATAAGGATTAATTTCCTGCCTTTTCTTTTCAAGACCAAGATTGAAAGCTATCCTGTAGAAAAATGATAGAAAAGCAAATAAAGCACTAAGTTTGTTTTTTTGAGGTTGGGTTGGTTTTGGTTTGTTGAGGTTTTTTTATTTTTTAAAAAAAGCTTCAGAACATTTTTGGGCACCAGAGCAAACAGACCAAAGGAAAGAAATTGTGTAGTGTGAGTGCAGAATTCATCACACAGTAGACTATTTTCTAAAACAAGATAAATATTTCTTTTTAATCATTGAAGAAAACTTTCATTCAGTTTCCTTTAAGATAATTGCCTCGCAAAACATCATTGCTCATTAAATCTCACTGATTTCATCCGGTTATGTTTTGAAAAAAACTTTTTTGCTGCTTTCCCTTGTTTAAACAAGCTTTTTTCTTGATTTCAATTCAGTGTGACTAGAACCCAGCCATGGAACTTAGCAGGGCTGTGGAGATGATGCTTGCTGAAGCATATTCCTCACATAAGTTTGAAGAACTGTAATTTTGCAAGTTTGGTTTTTTTCTTTATTCTGCCACATCTTACTTAGTTGTTGCCACACCTTGTTAGTTGTTTCCAAAGTGCCCTGTCATTCTCCCACCTACTTAGTTTTATTAACTAAACTAAATCATTCAAACAAAAAGGAAAAAAAAATCAAGATGTATAAAATTGATTGAATTTCATCCTTTAAAGAAAAGTTATACCATTGCTATAATGAATGAGGAGTCAGTGCCATGAAAGAGCACTTACACCTTGTGAACAGCCCAGGTCAAGGTAATTAAGGCAGTTGCTTGTGTCATAATAAGGACTGTTTAGCATGATTGTGCAGACAATGGCAATGCAAATAGAGGGATTTGGGGAGACAAGCTTTGTTTCAATTTAAAAGCTATCACTTTCCATGGACATCATGTTGATGGAGGCGATGATTTGAGGAAAAACAAAATAAATTGATGCAGCCATTCAAACAAATTGAAAATTAAGCATAAATTCATTTTGCTAAGGAAGGATATTGCTGTTTGCTGAAGGGAGGAGGTAAAATTGCAAGATGAAGAATGACTGGTATCTTTCTGTTTATGAATGACCAGCATGTAGGCCTTCTAGTGACTGTTAAATTGATAATAGAAGAAACAAAGGCAGCAATGTAAATAACTATACTGCCAGCACTTTCTGCTATAAACAGCTGAAAATAGGATATCTGTAGTTTTTACACATCTTGATTGTTTGGGCTGAGGCTTTCCACACCAGTTGTCTTCCTTGCCAGATACTTGTCATACAGCAGTTTGTGGGGGGAAATGTTGAGTTTGCTCATGTTAAATATTCTTAGATTGGTTCACTGAAACTTTTGCTTCTGCATGTTAAACAAGACCTTGTATTTTCTCTTTCCAAAGAAATCTATGTAAATTTGACCATGTCATAAATGTCTTGAACAAACCTGTTGCACTGCAGAGGTATTTTAAAGGCTTCTCTGAAAAGCATCTCCACTGAACGTGTTCTGTTCTGTCAGATACTCATGACAGAAGAAAACGAGCTGGTTTTGAACAGTAAAGAGCTGAAGAACAAAAGTAGATTAAAAATGTTATGGCAAGGGTGGACAGAAGCATAATGAGGTGGGAACAGTTACCCAAAGAAATGCCAAATGCCACTGCCAAAGTATCTACTCTTCAGAAGCTAGGCTTTAACCTTGATCACTGAGTCTCAGCTTTCAAGGTATATTTGTGAAGCTTACTAGCAAAGACCATACCTTTTCCTGCTTAGAAGATAATAGGACCGTTTCAAGGTTAACGTAGTTCTAAATGGTGAAATTTCTTTTATTATTTTTTTTTAGTGAAGATTATATTATAACTTAGACCAAAAAGGACATTAAATGAAAAGGTGAAATGCAAAATCAGTTCTTGAATTTTAAGAAAAGTCAAAATTAAGGTTGTCCTTTCAAGCCTAAATTTCCTTCTTGCTATATGAGTGTTATCATTCTAAGCTGTGTGTGTTATTTTTCTGGAGAAAACAGGGAGAGTCATTTTAGAAGAATGAAACGAGCAAGCCTGCCTTTTGAAGTAATTATAATAAGCAAGGCTGCAAACTGCAGAAAGATGGTCTTGACAATGAGATTGTTTTGCAAGTGTTACAGCAGCCGTTTGAAGCTTTTTACCTCTGACAGCCCTATACTTTGTCAGGAGTTCCAATCCCAATGGCATACTTACTAGAAAATATCATGTGTCTTTACCCTGTGTTTTTGAGTGAAATCTGTGATATTAGCTTAACCACAATGAAGTTGCTTTTGCAGTAAGATATCTTGAATTTGCACAGGAGGGGTAGGTACAAGTACAACTTTTTTTGGCTGATACCTTTGCTGCAGCAGCTGTAACCATTATCAGAAGGACAGTAACAAATACCTTGGGACACATATGATGTCTTAGACCTCTGTAGCTGTGTGGCAAGTAAATGTGGGTCAACGCCTTGAAGCAGCTAAATGGTGGCCAAGTGGCTGATGATAAACTGGGCAAATTACATAATCTAGAAGTGTCACAGGAGTCTAAGTTGTTTGGACTAATTCTTTTCAGTCCACCATTTTTAAGATGATTTGTGGAAATATCAAATACATAGATTCAATTGAAATCAGTCCATGTGAGTGCAAATAACATTAAATATTTTTGGAAGAATAATTTGTACAATGTCAAGTTAGCAAAAATAGCAACTGGGACACGAGCAACTCTTTCTGTCTCACTTTGTGTAAGTTTAGACTTATAAAACAGGACTAATGTAGCCAGATTTTATAAAGATAAATTCTACATTTATCAGTCATTAGGATGCTACAGTAATGACTGTCATTGAAAACCTCAGTTCAAAAAAAAAAAAAAAAAAAAAATTTGGGAAAGGATTTAAGCTGACTTGCCGAGAATAATGGTTTGGAGAGCAACTTGAGCATAAAGAGAAGCTACCTCTTATTTTCCATTACCAGGTTTGTACAAAGTAGCAGGGTCTGACAGAAATAGTGTGTTTAAAAATAAGTATTGTTAATAGGACATGTACAGTGGGGCTAACTGTGGGACCAGTAACTTTAACTCTAGCACTTTTTTAATATATGAGTGCTAGATTGTAGTAACTATGGTCTTTTAATGCAAGTTATTTCCATGTGTGGTGGTATTTGACTGAAGTTTTCTGAATTTAAAAGCTGACTTTCATTATGATTGTAAAGACTTGAAGATTTTATATTTAAAAAAAACCACTAGAAATAGCTTAAAAGAAATCTAGACTTCATCAGAGTACTGATTTGATATCTTCCACATGAGACAAAAATATTAGAATTAGAAAAACTAGTTCTAACCTATATGAATGTAACTACTGTTTACAATAGGTTTAACTTACTAATAAAAAAATGAAGTATTTTAAAATACTTCATCTTGAAAAGCGAGTGATGTAATGGTCAAGGTTTAACAATTTGAATCATCTCAAAAGAGCTCAACCAAAAGAATCAAAACTGATTATATCAAAACACAAATAACTGGAAAACTATACTGAAGCTTGAGGCATACCTGGAATAATTACCAGCCAGCTACGTTGGTCTCTAGGGATGAATAGGGCACGTAACAGAAAATGATCATACCAAAAGGAGCAGCTCTGAGGACTACGCGCATGCTCTTACAGTGTATTCTTATTCTGAATGCCTTATGTAACATGCTTGTTGTACTTAATATCTATGAACTATTTAAAAAAAATGCAACTCGCTATATTTGAGCCTGAATTACTGATAAGTAAAAATTAAGTTAACTCTTTCTTCTTTTCTGAACTTGTAAAATGGCTTTTGATGCTACAGATCACTGTCGGTGGTTCTCGGGTGTGCCACTGGCACTTATCCATGAGGCATGGCTAGAAGTTCTTGATGCGCATGGAAGGTGACTGGATACTCACTCTTGGATTACTTTAGAATGAATCAAGTCCTTGTTTCACCTGAATGCTGTAATTCAAATGCCTCTGATTTCAGAGAATCAGCTCAAACTCTTACATGTAACTTTTGCATTTATCTCATTTCCCTTTTGAAGAGGTTCTGATTAAGCACGTGCAGATTTGTGGAAGGGGACTTTTTAACAACGTTTTCTTGTCATGGTGGTTTGTGGTTTTTTTTTTTTTTCTATCTGTAGCATTTCAGAAAAATTTAAACTGTAATCATTTGGTCAAGCTCAACTACATAATGGCAGCAAAGCTGAGTAGAAAAAGGCCATGCTTTTTCTTGCAGAGATCTCAGTCATTGTGGGGTCTTTTGATGACCTGCATGATAGATCCCAATGCAATTTGTATTATAGCGAGCTTGGTCATTAAGGTTAGGTTACATTGTCCACTTGGGCTTTATGCTAGACCTTTTAATTGTGATTGCTCAGGCTTTATCTTTAAGAAGCAAAGGATGAGCTGTGTTGTTTATCTTTGTGTCCCTGGAGGCAATTGTATATTTCTGCAATGACTTTGACTGGAATAAACACATTTCCTAGGACTCTACTTGGTATGTAGGCAGTAGTTATTCTGTCTCCTGTATCTTACTAGCCTGCTCCCTTGGAGTCTAACTACTTCCTCAAGTGGAAGAGGAAAGCAAGCAGTTGAAGGTATTTAAAGCAGTCATATATTTCAGTAGTTGTGCACTTAAGAGAAAAGGGGAAAAACCTCTTAAAGTCACTAGCATCATGAAAACATTCTTGCATGGACCACTAGGGAGAGGCCAGGTTTTATAGACTAATACAGTGATAAAGGAGAGTTTTATTTCAGTAGTATGTCAAATGTGAAGTCTAGTAATGGACGTCGATAAAATGCAGCTAACAGTTTAACTGTTGCTAAATGTGTGGAAGAAATAAAGGAACATGAAAACTTGTCTCAGTTTGTAAAGAGTGAGATCCTCATTGTGTGATGCAGCAGAGCTCAGGAGTGTCTTAATCATTGGTTACATCTGTAACATAGCAGTTGAGCCCAATCTGAATGCAAAGATAATTGAGTGATTTCATAATCAAAGTTAACAAAAAGCTAAACTGAAAGAACTTATGTAAAACCAGTTTTTTAGGTACAATTGAATGAAAAAGAGCTCTTTGTACAACAGAATCTTTTTAACTAATTATATTGCTTCCATACAGAAAAGTATCCTGTATCATACAGAAGTCACTCATATGTACAATGAACATGTATGTATGAATAATATAGATATTGTTTTCTAACAGAAACCAGATTTAGCAAATGTTGCAGCCAACTTTTTATTATAACTGAATCTGTAAGTATGCAGACTTACATATTTAGAATAGTTTGTGTAGCCCCAAGACCCTGTTATTTTGATATTGTTCTCAATAGCTCTTCTGCTGGTTTTAGCTGTTTCTTCCAACCTGTTCTAAACTACTATATAGTACTATTATGCATAACTCTTGCAGCATTTTACCTCGGGTGAATCACTGATGTCAAGGTATGATAGGTCAACAGTCAATAAACTCAAAAAATTAAAATGTGTTTAGATCACAGAAGTTAAACTTGATACCTCATTTATTTAGAAAATGTTATGCCTCTTGCATGCTTTCTAAGAATTACATGTTCATATGAGAATCTGAAAATGACAAACGTTTTCTATATCATATGCATCTTATAGCATCTGCAGAATATGCTTACTGTGAAAAGTATGACTTGTATTTAGCAAACATCAATACAGGAGTCATGACACTGAACACTTTTTGAAAACCTTACTGTATTTTAGACAGAACAACAACACACCGTCACCCATCTCCAGTACGTTGCTTGGCCTGATCATGGCGTTCCTGATGACTCCATGGACTTCTTGGAGTTTGTGACCTGTATGAGGCCAAAGAGAGTAGAGAATGAGCCGGTCCTTGTTCACTGCAGGTACCTGTGTTTTAAAATTCTGGTTATAGGTTTGCTTCAGCCATAGAGTGAGCATTTGCTTTGAAAAGTTTGTCTGCAAGACAAGAGATTCCTTGAATGAAATGAAAATGTTAAATTGTGCAACACCAGCATTCACTGTTGAAGACAGAAGCACTGGTGGTGTACCTAAAGGATGAGTTTCTTTTCTCTCTCTTTCTCCTGCAACTTTTTGGTGAAATGGCTTAGTTATGTAATTATCACAGAGCTGATAACCTGCTATGTAAGTTGTTCTCCATTTTTATCCTCTACCACTGTTGTAACCTCATTTTGAATTTTTTTCTGCTGTTCATGTGCCTGTCAAAAAGCAGTCAGTTAGCTCTTACCTTTTTTTAGTCAAAAATACCAAACCAGTGAATTCAGACTTGTAAGCAGTTATAATTGTTAAAAATCCATTTACCTTAAGTGAGGTTTTAGTTTTATTTATATAAAAATTCTTTTCTTTTTGATAATTGGCAGGAAATATTACTGAAGTTGCTTTAAAGATAAGCTTTGCACTCTGTACTAATTTTATTAAGGTCTTCCTGTAATTTCTAAGGCTATTTAGCATCCTAGTATTAAGACTGTGATATGAATCTGGTACATTGCAAAAACCTTGTTTTATAGACTATTTTTCTGTTACATTTCACAGTGCTGGAATCGGTCGCACTGGTGTATTGGTCACTATGGAAACAGCCATGTGCTTAATTGAAAGAAACCAACCTGTTTATCCACTGGATATTGTACGAAAAATGCGAGACCAGCGAGCTATGATGGTGCAAACATCAGTAAGTGATGGAGAGGAAACATCATTTTCTGTATATATGCTGCATTTGTCCAGTTTTAAAACAGATCCAAAATTTTTTAAAAGATCTGGTTGTATGAGTTTTCAGTTGCCATTATATTTCATGCTTCCTACATTTATTGTAACATAGCATGGTGGTAAAGGCTGCTTTGCTTGTGAGGTGTGTATTTAACTTTTTTGTAAATATTTCTTACTTTGCCATTAAAAGATAATTTATTTCTATACATTGCAAGTCGTTAGAATGCACAAAGTCAGACTTGCACAAATAAACTGTTCATGTTCCTTTGCCTAAATTCTCTGCAAGAAGCTAGAATAATTTTTTTGCTTTTCATTCTAGTACAGAGCCTTATAGGAAGTTATTAAACTGAAGGTAAAATTAAAGGGTTTGTGGTATGATTTGAAGAGAGGAAGTGGCTTTTCAAGAGCCCACTTTAGGAGTAGAAATTCAAAAGGAACAATATATGTATTTTTTTCTAAATTTTGCCACTACTCCAGTCTGGAAAAAACAAAGGGCAAGAATGAAATTCAGGAAAATTTGGGTAGTATCAATTAATGAAATATGAAAGTAGAAGGTGATTTTAAGGTGGAATTGGCTCAAAGACAATTTGAGATCATGAGGGCAACTTTGTGTCAGCTTTGGAAATGAACATTAGAGACGAAGGATGAAGAATGGGAGGCTCTCCTTTCTTGAGTACAGGTTGGATGACAGAATATTAAGTGTGGGTTATCTCAGAGAGCTAAACGCCCTATGAAAATTGGAAGTAAAGGGGTTTAGACCCCCAAAGTCAACAGTTAAATTGGGCATTTCTGCCTCTCGTCTTCAAAAGAAAATGTGTTTCCACTCGATCAAGGGAAGGAAAAAAGTTACTCGAGAAGACAAATTCTATTCATTAACAGGTTAACGACCGCAGAAGCTAGCATTATGATTGACTAGATGGGGGACAAGTCTTGCTTTATCAAAGAGCGTGAAAGCGTCAGGAATTACGGTTGCTTATGTAACATTAGAGCGCTCTGTGAGCAGAGATTGTCGTGCATGCTGCTGGCGGTCTTGTTCATTGCGTTAGGAGTGCACTCTCTGGAAGTGCATCAGGACTGTATGGTGGAGGGGGGAGCTGTCTGAATAGTCCCCTGCCTGTTCCTCGCGGAAAGGGGAGCTGAGCTTATGACAAAGGATGTCATGAGATGAGAAACACTAGCCTCAAGTTTAAGGAAGCTCAATGTTGGCTTCTGAACTTGTACCTCTCTACACCCCTCAGTTTCTAAAACGAACTGAGCAAGTTCAGGCTTAAATTTTCTCGAGGTGGTTGTCTTTTTGAGAATCAGATATGAGACCCTGAAGTAACCTTCACCTTGCCAGAAGGCTGAGTCCCCTCTTGTTACAACAGAAATCAGCAGGAATTGTCCTTGTATTCTACAGTTTGATATAACTGAAGAATATGGGGAATAGTGATAAGTACACTAACAATCAGACCCTGAGTGTGGAAAACTGATTGTCTAAAACAGGATTCTTTACCTTGCTTGCTGTATTCCACAGTTCACTATCAGCACAATCAGGAGAGGGGTGATCTGTAGGAGCAATACTGTGAAACTAAATTCACTTGTTATTTCTGAAGTATGCAAATACTGTTGTGAAAAGCCAGTGAGCAGAATTGGCATACTGTGCTGTAAATGAGACACAGAAGCAAGCACTCGACTGTGAGAAAACAGAACACCAAAGAGCTGCACGTTAACATTTTGATTCCATCCTGGGTGCTCTATCGCATTCCCATGCCTGCATTGCAGCTAGCCCCACTGCTCATATTTGATATTCAGCTTAGGGCTTCTGGGAGAAGCCATTAGGGATTGTTGTGTTGTAATAGCCTTGCCTGAAGCATTCTCAGCTGCCCTGTGGGGATTGTGTGTGCGCTCCTATTCTAAGACGATACACATAGCCAGATGCATGTTGTGAGTTAATATCAGATAGGGCATACTCAGTAAGTAAGAATGGACTCATCAGAGCTATTAACTGGTCAGTTTAGCGTCTGCTGTTAGTCATGAGACAGCTGTCATTTCTCAAAGACCTGTAACTTGGTCATTGGGAACAGCCAAACAAAAGCTTCGACGGAAATAATAAAGCTACAACAAAATTTGTGTAACCATATGGCCCTTCATTTAAAAAAAAAAAACAAAAAAACGAAAAACCAAAACCCTAACCATTATCTTCCATTAAAGAGAAATTAGAGATACTAAACAATACAGAAAGCAGTGCTTTAGGACGTACATAATAGAACTAGTTATCAGCTCAGTGAGCAGTAAGAATGCATGCAACAGATAAGAGCAAAGAAAACAAGTAGTCAGTCTTAGTCAGAGGAAGCAATGCTGAAGTGCTCCTTATTTGTTAGATAACTTGATCACACAAGATAACAGAAGTATTGAACAGAGAGCTAAATATCACACTTGGCTTGTTCAGGCAGTAGAAATATGCAAATGACAATAACAATGAAGAGAAAAGTCAAGGTAATTAAGAAAGACAAAAGAACAGAATGATATTGAAGGTGGGAGTAATTGACTGAAAGGTTGAAAGAAAAGGCAGGAAAATCAAGATGCAGAAAATTAATTTCCATCCCCCAGTTTGCCTTAAGTTTTTCTGTACTTTAGAGAAAATGTATTGCAGATTATGGACAAGAATAACATCCCCAGCTACTGTTATTTAAATGCAACCTAAGGTCCTTCACAGTCCAAGCATTATCTTTTAGTCCTGTCCTTTGGGAGATATTGGGAGAATGTTTCCAGATGCTCCTGGAGAGGTGATGAGAGCTGACATACAAGGGCAGCTGGGAGAACATTTCAAAGATGTAAAAAGTGATTTAGAAAATGTGAAGCTGCACTTCTCTGAATACATAACATGGAGCTTTGGGGAAAGGTGTTCTTTTTGGGGTTTTGACAATAGTGAAAAGTACTTTTGGAGGAGAGGTATGCTTTGATCTTTGTGAGTTCATTTAAATTTCCATCATCTTGTGTTCTCGACGTTGTTAGTCACAAAAATATTTTCAGGCTATGTGGATTTTTAGTTCTGCACTAGTCCTATTGCTAATGTCTCCCTGTATCACTCTTCAGAAAGAGGCTCACAGGCTAATTGCTTTTAACAAATAGGTCCATCATGGAAGAAATAATCTTTGTAATAGTATAATTCAGAAAAGAAACACTAATCTAATTGGCGAATACTTTTTAAGAACGAAGTAAGCTCAAAATGTTGGGTGACAGAACAATTAATGTGGCTGCTACTCTTCAAAAATATTCATTCTAAAGGTTTTGATCCCATTCTATTACAAAAGATGTGTGGTCTGATTACAAATCGAAAATAAGGTGACTCCATCTTCTGCAATAGTGTAGGTGGTTTAAAAAAAAAAAAGTATTTAGCAAGGCAGTTGGGCCTATATATGGTAACTTTAAATGCATTTTTGGTCATGTAACTTAAATGTGCCGAGTAATATGTAACTGCAGGATTGGCAAGGTTAGAATACTTGTAATAATCAAGTAACTACCAAGAATATAGATGAGATGTATAAAGAACATAAGTAGCTAGTTAAACTTAGTCAGAAGAATCATATAAATTTGCATAGCTTTTACAAATAAATCCTATTCCCTGAGATTTAAGCATGTGTTCCTTTAAATTTGGGGACTGTGTTTTCCTTAGTGTGAGATTTTTAATGCTTGTCCCTTTGTTTACTGTGAACACAGCCAGGAGAGTTGCATTTTCTCCTTCCATTTTTCTGTCTCCTCTCCTGTCGTCCAGGAGAAAAGGAAGCAGTGGGACTGTTAGTCCTATTCAATACTACTGTATAATCAGGAGTTTAATTAACCATCCGTAAATGTTTTTTTTTTTTTTCTTATACAGAGTCAATACAAATTTGTTTGTGAAGCTATTCTTCGTGTTTACAAAGAAGGATTGGTTCGACCACTGGATTCCAGTTAGCACAGCAGTGAAGGATGAATTCTTTTTTCCCCCTAAAAAGACTGCTCTTTAACTAAAGCAAGGGCTTGTTTCTGAAGGCAACTATAACGGACTAGAAGCCCATGAAAAGACAGATGAGCACATTTGAACTGTGGCACTTTAAATTTCTCAAGAAGATTGCTAAATCATGTACAGTATAACAAAGTCATGTAGATAAATATGAGAGCAATTGTGTGTAATATGCTTTATTCACATAGACAACCATAAACAATCATGGAAACCTTAATACATGTCTTTTACTGCCTTAAAACACCCTTCACTTTGGAAGTTACAAAGGTCCTTGTGTTTCCTTTGAAATAGCAGAAAGAAAACTCATAGTATTGAAATGATTCAGCTTGAGAAGGTATTTAGTATCTTTGTATTGTATAAAAGCTCATTGAAGGTGAATAGTTGTAAGTTTCTTATTGGGACACTAAATATTCATGGAAATGTAACCTTGACTTCTAAAAGGCTGACAAAGAGCTTTAAAGGCTAATAATGCATAACTACTGTACATTAAGAGCTGGAAAATTAAGTATTCAGATACCATAAATCTATTAGTAAGTATGCCAGCTGTTGTAATACGCTTCCTAGAAATCGCATCTACTGTATGTGATGTGCAAAATAATGCTGCATTTAAGCATTTATGCAGATGGTACAATCTACATCTTCTGTTGATCAATTTTAATTGCAACTTGCCCTTTTAACAGTGACCTACTTCTTACAGTTTTAGTTATTGTACTCCTTTTCTGTTTCTGCTATCTCCTTTATACTTGTTTTTCACTGCTGTTTCTATATGTGGACCGAAAATATTTTAATTTAAATCGAGGTTTAATTCTGTCACCTTTGTTTCCATGCGTATTTATGAGTTTCTAGATGTAAATGTGGATTAATGTTGCACACATGTACTAGACTTTTGACTTACTGTATATGCAAAGTAGTCTAATCCAATACTGGAAGAAAAATTACTACTGAACCCATCAAATATGTTGCTGCTAATTCAAGGTGTGAAGCTTATAAGGGCACAGGTGTTGCTAGTGTTCAGATGGTGATAAAATGTTGACTTGCTGCCCTTCAGCAAAAACTGATCTTATCCAGTGAAACGCGACTCCCTTTTGCAAGAGTTCTGCGCATTTACTGTGTTTCTTGCTTTATGGAAATGCAGCTAAATTCACATGAAGACTTACGTGGAAAGAGGGAATGAATTTGTACGATGATGAATAATTCACCCTAAGGTACACTGGTCTCCATTTCATTTCAAATGGGAGAATTGGACTTTCTGAACAATATAACCACATTTGTATGATGTTAATTTATTTTGTGTGTGCTTTTTGATTACCCTGAGATAGGTCTTCATTTTTGGATAGTGTTTAAAAAAAAAAATATTCTAAGAGACTGTTTAAAAATCTGTTATTTAAAAGGTTAGTCCTAAATAAGGAAAAATTTTTATGGGGCATATTAGCTGGGTGTTTATATGTGTATAAAAGAAAATTTAGATAATTTTCTTTTTAGATATATATATACACACACATATTCAGATATATTTTAGAATTATGGTTTGTATTATGGATATTATCATTTGTATCTGGAGTTTCATTATAGAAACTGCCACAGCTGTACAATATGCATCTCTCATGTTACCAGAAGGTTATGGTTTTTTCCCCAGGAGATAGCTGAAAAGTGAATGTAGGATGTGCTGAATTGCTGACTCTTGTCTTCTGTAGGCTTGGTCCTTTCTTCAAGATTACATTATTTATTACAGGTAAAGATGATACCTGGTTACTATTGAGTGATCAAAAGAGTTTTAATTGGAACATGCAGGGTAATTGGCAACATGGAGAGTGTCTTGGCTTTGTTAGGTTGAAAGGTGAATAGGTTTGCGCTCCTTCTTGTATACTGCATTCCAGATTTCACTTTCACTGAAGTTTTTGTAATATTTGGGATCATTATCCTCTTGCTTGACTGGGCACAGATTGGAAGGCAAGAGACTGTAGCTGGTTCAGTCTTAACATGCTAAACTGCATCCAGTCACTCAGTCTGTCTGTGACTCCAAAAGTAAAATGATATTGGACATGCACATGTTGCTTGGGAAGCTTTTTTCGAAAAATGTGTGTGGAGAAATGTTGTACAAGTGCAGGCTGCCTGCTGCTCTTAGAGAGAATATTGACCAGGGAGAAAACCTCGTGGCTCTTTCCTACGTGAGGAGTAGTGGGCACTAAAGAATCTGTGCCTGCTGAGTGGTTAACGAAAGCCTCCTTTTTGTTATGTGTGTGCCTTTCGGTTAAAACATCTCTTTTTTCATTATGTTTTTTTAAGTTTTGTTGTGCCCAGGTCTCAGTCATCCCTTGCAGTTGCCATGACTTGCAATTAATAGTTTGTGAAGAAGAGAAAAAGGCAAGGAGCAAAAAAGCAAGAAAATAAATAGTAAGAAAATATTTAGAGTATCTTTGTGACATCTGTTTCTTTCATGGAAGTACTTGATTAAAGTTACGGTTCATTTGTGTTCAAGGTTATTGTTATATTCCTATCGCTATTTATGTTTCTTTGTGTTGAACATGTATTTACCAAAACACTGTAAACGTATTCCTTATATAACTCCAGCCTCAAGATACATGGTGTAGACTTGGCTTACATTAGTATGTGTGTGTTTAAATGATGATGGTCGTATTGTGACAACAAATGCTGCTCTTATTCTGGTAAACTTAGATGGTTTCGGTAATACCATTCATGAACTCTTATTTGGACTTTAATAAGTTGTTTGACATTGATGGCCACTAAGAGACTACTCAAAGCTATAAAAATAGTAATCTCTGTAATATTTGATTTATTTTTTTTGTAAAACCATAGAGCAAATATTAACTACGCAAGTATCTTGTACATTGTGTCCATCTTTATTTCAGTCTTGCTGGGTTTTGCACATGTACCTGTAGGGTCCATGGGGGAGAATGAAGGGGTTTTTGTCTTCTCTCTGTAGTGTGTGATGACTTTGCACTGAATAATGTATGCCTTAGATCTGATCTGGCAATGAAAGCGTAATTATGAAAACATCTTCTTAATGCTGGCTTTTGTTTCCATAAGAATTAGGAAATTAAAAAGACACAGAGTTGATTGGCCTTTTTTTTTTTTTTTGGCAGCAGTTAAAACTCCTAACACAAATTTTTTAACTGTCAAGCAATTGACAAATAGCAGAAAATGCTGTGAAGTCAAGATTCTGTATAACCTTCATAAACAGTTTAACTTTGGTTTTTGCCTGTTCTTGTGTGATCGTGACAATAAGTATTCAAAATTTCTAGCATGGTGGTGGATGAAGAGGGAGTAATAAGCCTTTGAGTTTTTCATCACTGTGAAATACACTAACATTTATTCTTCAGAATTAAACAAATTTTAACTAAGTGGCTTTATATTTGATACAGAAGTAACTAAAATGCCTATGCACAGTGTCTTCAGAAATATCACAGGGGAACACTTCTGAGACAGAGGTGGGAGGGACAGATCTTACCATGTATGGAAAATATGAAAAATGGTGCCGTAAACCATGAATGCCTTTTGTGTAACAGGATGTATGAAATATGAATCATTAAAATACAACCAAACCTTAAATAGTGGTGGTGTTTTGAAAAAAACAAACAAACAAACAATTCTGTAATCCAGGGGTTTGCTTTCAATGATCCTGTGTTTTAGGTGTTGGTACTAAATTATATGCAATCAAAATGTACCTAAGAATTCAGCAATAGCTCTTTGTATACACTCATTGTTTTTAATGTTTCTCTTTTTTCCCCTCCTTTTTTATACTATGCAACACTTGGTGAAAAGTATATCTATATTTCAAAAGAACTGTAGTTCTGAAGTATCTAATGAACTATGCATTTGCTTTATTACAAGCATAATATGATACTGTTTTACAACAAAAGTTCCCCCCTGTAGATAGTGTTCTTACGTGTCAGACTAAATGCATAAATGGTCCACTGATTGAATATGTTGAAAATAGTCACGTATGGTTCATATTCAATCAATTAAAATTTAAACATAGTTATTTCACTGATAATGGCTTTATTGTTATTGCTTTATTGCTGAAATGTAGCATCTAAGTGCAAGTTTATTTTGCTCATTCACATAAAGCCTTTACAGAAAGAGGATGTGCTGGGAAATGTTTGTATTTCAATTGGTAACCTGCAAGTAGTCTACTTGGTTAAAAGCATTTATCAGTTGAAACTGTATAGAAGGTAAAGTTGTGTCATTAAATACTTTATTCAAAGGCAGTTGAAAGCCAAGTGAATGATTAATTCATTATATAAAACTTAATGTTTTGATTAAATGGGTTCTCTTGCATTTAAGTTCTGACACTGATAGTGTTAAGCCATCTCCGATGACTGTCTGTTTTAACAATAGTATTATATTAACATTTTAAATATAGCAATCTAATGCAATATGATTTAGTTTTAGTGTACTTTAACATATTTAATGTTCCAGTTGTTCAGTAGCTGTACAAGCTTCAAAAAATAGTATCCACAATCACTGAAACTTGTCATCTTTTTTTTTTTTAAAGAAAAGTAAGTTTCACTGAATGAAAAGGAAGGAGTAGCACACGATATTGATGGATTTAACCATTTTTTCAGCTCAGACTAACCCTGTGAGAGTAGTGGTCTGATTCGACCACTGAAATAAAGAGCAGTTGTTAAGGACCAAGAATATAATGGAAAAAGCAAATTGTGTGGGCTGTTGACACTGTTTAGTTTTAGCTATAGTTAAGAGACTAGTAACTATTGTCTTTTTTTAAAGACAAACTCATCTTAAGAGGTGACTTTGCGATCGCAGAGTAGAATGTGCCTTTATTGACTCTCCTAATTTTGTTGCAGATTACTTGGACAAGAGACTTGGATGAGAGTCTTAGATTGTGTATTATTTTGAGCTTAGCTGCAGGTTTTGCATCTTTAATGAAATTCTTATTTAAAATATTAAAGCATCAATTTTAATAGGCATTAATGAAACACTTTGGTTTACCGTTAGTTGCTCAACCTCTGTTTTCTTGGCTTTCATGATGTCACTTCTTGAGTTGTCATTGTTTTACCTTATAAAACCACTCTGAGGTTTCCCACAGCTGTAGAACTGGCTTTGTCGTAGACAGACCAAGTGATGTTGCTGTTGCTTAAGATATAATGTTACTTGTATCTGCTGAAGGTGCAATGTGGTGTTCAGACCAGCCTGAACTGAGCTCCTCTCTGAGGAATTTAAACAGTGCTGCTAACAGTGCTAAAAATCATAAAGATATTTTGAAAAAGCATGTAGGAAATGTTTTTTTGAAGGCAGATAAGACCTGATTTTTATTAAAAAAAAATAAATTGTGAGGATGAAAATCTTTTTAACAGATAAGGTAAGGGTAGGAGAATGCAAGATTTTTTTTTTTCCCTTTGCAGAACACTATCTTGTGTTTTAAATGCATCATTTCTTTTGGAGCAATTTCTTTACTAAAGAGCCCTACTCTTGTTGGGATTTAATTTTTGTCAAACTGACCTAGAAAATAATTTTAAGGTTTTTAAGTTGAACTTTTTCCTCATTTACTGCTTTATCCTTTTAAGTGACATTAAACAAAACTGAACTCTTTTCCTTTTAAAAATTATTT